GGGGTTGGTTACTTAATCAAACCCTTGAATTCTTCCAAGTTGTTTGTTTTATCTGATGACATGCATGGTAGGGGATGGCAGAGGGAGAAGCAGTTAAGAGGAGAGGAAGGAAATGTGAGTACTGAAGGGCAGTATTTGGCTTCCTTCTAATTCAAGATAATTTGAAATGAAGGAACTGCACTGTTGTGGGGGAAATGTTTGATTAAGCAGCCATTTTTTTCAGGCCTGCATTCTAGATGTATTCTGTATGAGAACTACACTTGTAGTTCTTCTGCACAGACCAAATGTTCTTGCAACAAACTAATGACTAACTTTGTGGTGGGTGGTGAGTCACAGTAGATTTCCCGGGAGTTGATAATGTGCTTGTGTGTGATATAGATTTGACCATGAGGAGCCAGCCGATACAATTACGGTCTGATTTCATTAAGCAGTGGTTTTAAGAAACTGTCTTGGACCTCCGGGCCTAAGGAAGTGAAGAGGTTGCATGTTTGAAAAGTTGTTGCAGTGTGGCTTAGACTTTCTTGTAGCATTTCCGTGATAGTCTAGAGTGGATTCAAACACAAAACATTAGAAATAGATTTTAATGCTAGTTGACCACGACAGAACAGATTTGTCTTTTTTGTGTTATATAGCTCTAACATTTTGCTTTTGATTCTCTTTGCTATTTGCTTGAAAAATGTGTTGGTTAAAAGAAAGACCAATAGCTACTTAGTAATTCTTGATTGCATATTTGAGAATAAATGTAAAATAACTGATGTGAGAAAAGTTAAGTTTTGGCCAGCACAGGGCAGGAAGTTTTTGTTTTGTTTCGCTTTTTTGCGTTTGGCTTAATTATATGAGTTCAACTGAAAAAAACAATAACCTTTCTTGACAGTGGCAACACTCAAGTTATAATGAATATGACATTGACATTTGGTCAAGGTTCTTTAGGAAATACAGAATAACTCTGACATGGTATTTTTCCTTCCTTTAGAGCTTTTTTTTTTTTTTCCTTAAAGACAGAATCTCACTCTGTCACCCAGGCTGGAGTGTGGTGGCGTTGTCTTTGCTCACTGCAACCTCTGCCTCCTGGGTTCACGTGATTCTTCTGCCTCAGCCTCCCGAGTAGCTGGGACTACAGGCCTGTGCCACCAAGCCTGGCTAATTTTTTTGTATTTTTAGTAGAGATGGAGTTTCTCCATGTTGGCCAAGCTGGTCCTAAACTTCTGACCTCAAGTGATCTACCCGTCTTGGCCTCCCAAAGTGATGGGATTACAGGGGTGAGCCACCGTGCCCAGAAGAGCGTATCTTTTTATAGTGGAGATAAGACAAACAGAAACAGCTTCATACTTTGGGTCAGAAAAATGTAAGAATAGAAACATATGAGAACATAAACAAGCCATGGCCTGTACTTTTAAAAAACAGCTGTATGTAGACAGAATTCACTCCCCATACAAGTCAACCAATTCAGTGTTTTCAGTATGCTCACAGTATACAGCCATGAGCACAATCAATTTCAGAACATTTTCATCACCCTTGAAAGAAAACTGTACCTGTTAGCAGTCACTCCTTGGCCTTAGACCACACTAATTTATTTTGTCTCTATAGATATCCCTATTCTAGATATTTCAAATAAGTGTGGAATCATACAATGTATGTTTTTTGATGACTGGCTTTTTACACTTAGTGTTAGCTTCATTCACTGTATTGCTTGTATCAGTTTTTGATATAGTTTGGCTGTGTCTCTGCCCAAATCCCATCTCGAATTACAGCTCCAATAATTCCCTTGTGTTGTGGGAGGGACCCAGTGGGAGATGATTGAGTCATGGGGTCAGTTTCTCCCATACTGTTCTCATGGTAGTAAATAAATCTCACAAGATCTGCTGGTTTTATAAGGGGAAACCCCTTTCACTTGACTCTCCCTCTTTTCTCTGCCATGTGAGGTGTGCCTTTTGCCTTCTGTCACGATTGTGAGGCCTCTCCAGCCACGTGGAACTGTGAGTCCATTAAACCTCTTTCTTTTGTAAATTGCCAGTCTCTGGTATGTCTTTACTGCATTGTGAAAATGGATTGATACAGTTTTTCATTCCTTTTTATTGCTCAGTAGTCTTCTGCACTAGGAATATATCACATTTACCCATTTGTCAGTTGATGAACGTTTGGGTTTTGTCCACTTTTTGACTGTAACGAGTATCCAAATAATGGTGTTGTGAACATTTGTGTACAAGTTTTGTGTTCTCTGGGATACGTATCTAGGAGTGAAATTGCTGGGTCAGATGGTAACTGTTTAACTTTTTGAGGAGCTGCTGGACTGTTTTCTGAAGTGACTGCACCATTTTACATTCTCACCAGTAATGTGTGAGGGTTCTAATTACTCCACATCCTTGCCAACCCTTGTGATGATCTGTCTTTTTGATAATAATTATGCCAGTGGGTGCGAGGTGGTATTTCATTGTGGTTTTGATTTGCGTTCCAATGTTGAAGGATACGGAACATCTTTTCTTGTGCTCATTGGCCATTTTTGTATCTGTTTTGGAAAGATATATATTCACTTCCTTTGCCTATTTAAAAATTTGATTGTCTTTTTTTTTTTTTTTTTAAGACAGGGTTTTACTCTGTGACCTAGGCTGGAGTGCAGGGTGCCATCACAGCTCACTGCAGCCTTGACCTCTCTGCCCAAGCCATCCTCCCTCCTCAGTCTCCTGAATAGCTGGGACCACGGGCTCTACCCCCCATGCCTGGTTATTAATTTTTTTTTTTTTTTTTTTTTTTTTTTTTGTAGAGACAGGGTCTCTGTGTTGCCTAGATTGGTCTCAAACTCCTGTGCTGAAGCAATCTTCCCAACTTGGCCTCTCAGAGTGTTGGGATTACATATGTGAGCCATTGCACCTCGCCTATTTGTGTTTTTATTACTGAGTTGTAAGGGTTCTTTATATATTGTGATATAAGTTCCTTATTCGGTATATGATTTGCAAATACTTTTTTGATTCTCTTTTCCACTGTTGATGGTGTCCTCTGAAGCACACAAGTTTTTAATTAAAAATTTTTTGTTGTTGTTTTTAGAGACAGGATCTTTTTTACCCAGGCTGTAGTACAGTGGTATAATCATAGCTCATTGCAACTTTGAACTCCTGGGCTCAAAGAATCCTCCTACCTGAGCCTCCTCAGTAGTTGGAAGTATAGGCATGTACCACCATATCTGGCTAATTTTTTTGTTTTGTTTGTATTTAGAGGTGGGGATCTCACTGTTTCCTAGGCTGGTCTTGAATTCCTAGACTTAAGTGATCCTCCCATCTCAGCCTCCCAAAGTTCTGGGATTACAGGCATGAGCCACCATGTCTGGCCCCAGACTTTTTAATTTTGATGAGGTCCAGTTCATTTTGTTGTTGTGTGTTTTGGGTGTTCATTTCCTAACCCAAAGCCATATGGATATATACTTCTGTATTCTTCTAATAACTTTATGGTTTTAGTTGTTATATTTAGCTCTTTGATCTGTTTGGAGTTTTGAATGTGGTGTAAGGTAGGGATCCAACTTCATTCTTCTGCATGTGGTTATCCAGTGTCTCACTACCATTCGTTGAAAAGACAATTCTTTCTCCAGTGGGTTGTCTTGGCACCCTTTTCAAAATCAATTAACCATAAATGTGACAGTATATATTTCTGAACTCTGAATTCTATTCTGTTGATTTATATATGTCTTTCCGTATGTAAGTACCACACTGTCTTGATTACTGTGGCTTTGTAGTAGGTTTTGAAATTGGAGAGTTATGCCCCCTTTTTCAAGATTTTCATCTATTCCGAATCTTTTGCATTTCGATAGGGATTGTAAGACCTTGTTTTGTTGATTTTTGTAAAAAAGCTAGTTGAGATTTTGATAGGGTTGCCTTGAATCTTGTGGATCTATTTGTGGAGTATTGTCATCTTAACAGTATTTTCTTTCAGTTCATGAACATGCAGTATCTTCTGGTTTATTTAAGTCTTCAATTTTTTAAACAAGTTTTTTTTTTTTTAACTGATATATCATAGTTGTACGTATTTTGGGGGTACATGTGAGACTATTCATTCTTTTTTTCTATTCTTTTTCTTTTTTTGGAGACAAGGTTTCGCTTATCTCCCAGGCTGGAGTGCAGTGGCATGATCTGAGCTCACTGCAACCTGTGCCTCCTGGCTTCAAGTGATTCTCCCACCTCAGCCTCCTGAGTAGCTGGCATTAGAGGCCCCCACCACCACTCCCAGCTGATTTTTGTATTTTTAGTAGAAACTGGGTTTCACCATGTTGGCCAGGCTGGTCTGGATCTCCTGAGCTCAAATGATCCATCCACCTCTGCCTCTCATAGTGCTGGGATTACAGGTGTGAGGCACTGCACCTGGCCACATGTGATGTTTTGGTACATGTATACAGTGTGTAAAATGATTAAATCAGGTTAATTGGGATATACCTTAGAAGTCTTTAATTTCTTTCAACAATGTTTCAGAATTTTCATTGTACAAGTCTTGGATTTCTTTTACATTTATTCCTAAGTATTTTGATACTCTTTATTATTATATTTTGATATTCATTATAAATGAAATTGTTTACTTAATTTCATTTTCAGATTCTTCATTGCTGGTATATAGCAGCACAACTGATTTTTGTATATTATTCTTATATTCTGCATAACTTGTTTATTTTCAGATTTTTAGTGGATTCCTTAGGATTTTCTCTGTTTTAGGATTTACTTCTTCCTTTCCAGTCTGGATGCCCTGACTAGAACTTCTAGTACAGTAGTGAGGAGAAATTGGGTAGCAGACACCCTTGTCTCACTCGTGATAAAGGGTGGGAAACCACCCAGCCCTTCGCTGTTAAGTGTGATGTTAGCTGTGGGTTTTTCTTGGTGCTCCTTATCAAGTGGAGGAAGTTCTTTTTTGTTTTATTCTTATCTCATTGAATGTTTGCATTATGAAAGAGTATTGAAATTTTGTCAAATGCCTTTTCTGAAATACTTTTTTAAATGACTCTTTTTCTTGTTTTTTGTCTGCAGAGATTGACTTGCATACCAAATGTGTGGTGGATGTGGATGCAAACAAGGTTATTCTTAATCCTGTAAATACGAATCTTTCTAAAGGAGATGCCCGGTAAGTTAAGCAATGGTGTTGTGCTCAGTGGATGTTTAAGTAACTGTAAGCAACTGTGGCTGCTGAATTAAGTTGCACTGAACAGATACCAAATGCCTACCCTGTAGAGACATATTGCTGTCTTCTGCAATCCTGTACTCAAGGTGAAGAGATGGAAGTCTATAATATGGGAAGCCAAGGTGCCTGAATGAGTATTAGAGGCAGTAATTGTATTAGAAGCACGGAGAGGGGAGGAGAGTGAGTGTTAAGTTGAGAAGCAATTGAGGAAGGCTTCTTGAAGGAGATGCAGCTGGCAAGAGGATTAGGTAGGATGTTAATTGGTTCTTTAGCATGAGTTTCAGCTTTTACTGCTGCCAGTTCAAATGCTGTCTATCAAAGCACCCATTTTAAGTGCTATCTTCATGAAGGTGTGCCTGCAGCCCTCAGTGATTTCTTTGCTTAAATACCTGTCATCTATAATCTGTGCTACCTAATTTAATGATTATAGATTGTTTTGGATTGTTTGTTCCAGCTGTACAGTGGATTTTAATGTCTTTGGGGAAAGAGACCCTGTCAGGGGCTGAGGATGAATATTTGAGCATCAGTTCTAGATGTGGATGGTAGTACAAACAAAATGAAGGGGAAGAACATGAAATTGGGGCAGGAAAAGATTATTTTTGGTTTTCTTGGTAAATGGAGGACAGTAAATGAGCTGGGATCAGATTACAGAAGACCTGGAGACCAGATGAGGAAGTTTGGCCTGTATTTTTGTCAGGAAGAGTTTATTGTTGACAGTTTTTGAGTAATATGATTGAGGATCAAGGTGGATTAGGAAAAGTTAATTGATTGGCAATGTAGAAAATGGGTCAGAGTGGGGATAGGCTGACTTTTGTGGAGACCAGCTGTATCAGAAATGTTTCTGTACTGGCCCTGAAAGTAGAGAGACAGGTGAAAGACATCTGACTTCGGGCTTTGTGCAAAGTAGACACTTCGTAAATCTTTCTAGAAACTGTGCCATATTTGGCACTCTGCAGATGTTCTTTTGAGTTGAGTCTAATTGAGTTGAAAAGAGCACTGGATTTGGAGTGAGGAAGTCTGAAATCAAATCCTTCATAATGTTATCGTAGCAAATTTTTAATTTTTTTGAACCTGTCTTATGTATCTCACAAAGGTTTTTTTTCCAAAGATCAAATTAGTTAGTGATTTTCAAAAGATCTTGCAAAGTATTTTGTATATGGGGAGGTTGTTATTGATGTAGAGACACATACAGCAAAATATACAGCTTGATGAATTTTCACAGTGAACCATGCTCCTTATGTAAGTGGCATCCAGATAAGAAACAGAATGTTACTAGCATGTCACAAGACTACATCACGAGAAGTAGTTTTTTTTTCTTTTCTTTTCTTTTTTCTTTTTGAGGCAGAGTCTTACTCTTGCCCAGGCTGTAGTGCAGGGGTGCCGTCTTGGCTCAGCAACCTCCACCTCCCGGGCTCAAGTGATTCTCATGCCTCAGCCTCCCACGTAGCTGGGATTACAGGCATGCACTACCATGCCCAGCTAATTTTTGTATTTTTAGTAGAGACAGGGTTTCACCATGTTGGCCAAGCTGGTCTAGAACTGCTGATCTCAAATGATCTGCCTGCTTTGGCATCCCAAAATGCTGGGATTACAGGTGTGAATCACTGTACCTGGCCAGAAATAGTTTTTCTTTTAATTTAATATCAAGGTAAAAAGAGGAAACAGAAATTTGGAATATAGCAGTACAGTGGTATATGTTGACTTCATTAAATTTGAGGAAAAATAGGAAGAAAAACATAAATTAAAAGCTGGATTTTATTAATGATATGAGGTTAATTATTGCCTACCTTGTAGAATAACAGACTAATCCATAAAACAAGGTATGATTTTATATTACCTATGTTTGTAACTGGAGAGCCAGAGATTTGAAATTAACATGAAAGTGATTTGAACCATCAGAGAGGCTCAATTTAATATTTTTCCTTTAAAAGCTATAACATCCTTGTTCTTCTAATAACTGATTCTATTACTGTAAAACCATGTCTAATTTTAAATATATACTTTATAACTCAAGTTATGCTTTAAAAGTGAACATTTGTAAATTTTAAAACATTGGTTTATGTATTTTTCTGATTAATTTTACATATACTCCTGAAAATGTCATAATGATTTGATGTTTACTAAAACTTCTTGAAATCATGCTTAGACAAATAGGTAAGCCACTTGAAGTTTAAGTGCTTAGTCATGGAGATTTGGGAAGCATTTTTGGTCTGTTTCATATGGGATTTCAAACCTGTTTTGAAACATAAGATATTTAAAATTCAGAAAATTCATAGTACAGAGTCAACGGGAGATTAAGATCACCGACTTCACAGTCAGGCATCCTGGATTGAATCTCACCTCCATCATTTAATGTGTGTGACCCTGGTCAAGTTACTTAATTCCTCTCTGCCTCAGTTTGCTCCTTTGCTAAGGGGAGAATATTATAGTACCAGCCTATAAGATTGTTATGAGGATTCCAGTTAAAATGTGTTAAATGATAATGGCTGGTGCACAGTAAACCCTATGCATAAGCTATTAATTTTATTATTACTGTTACTATTATGGCCTGTATTTAAGTTGTAGTCCATGTTGTCTTCATTGAGCTGTAATATAACTTCATAAAATTATTCCTTTTTTTTTTTTTTTGAGACAATTTCTTTCTGTTGCCCAGGCTAGAGTGCAGTGGTATGATCTCAGCTCACTGCAATCTCTACCTCCCAGATTCTAGTGTTTCAGTCCCCTAAGTAGCTGGGATTACAGGCATGCACCACCGCACCTGGCTAATTTTTGTGCTTTTAGTAGAAATGGGATTTTGCCATGTTTGCCAGGTTGTTCTTGACCTCCTGACCTCAGGTGATCCACCCACCTTGGCCTCCCGAAGTACTGGGGTTTACAGACTTGAGCCACCACACATGGCCAAGTTACTACATTTTAATTTTATTTTTGAGACAGGTCTTGCTTTGTTGCCCAGGCTGGAGTATAGTGGTGCCATTTCTGCTCACTGTAACCTCTGCCTGCCTTGTTCAACTGCTCCTTCCACCTCAGACTCCCAAGTAGCTCGGACCACAGGTGCACACCACCAGGCCCGGCTAATCTAATTGTTGTGCTGCTCTTTTTTTTTTTTTTTTTTAATAGAGACACAGTTTTGCCATGTTGGCCAGGCTGGTCTCAAAGTCCTGACCTCAAGTGATCCGCCTGCCTCAGCCTCTGAAAGTGCTCAGATTACAGGTGCGAGCCATCACACTCAGCCAGTTATTAAAAAAAATTATTTTTGAGACAGAGTCTTGCTCTGTTGCCCAAGCTGGAGAGAAATGGTGTGATCTTGGCTCACCGCAACCTCTGTCCCTGTCTCTACCAGGTTCAAGAGATTTTCCTCCGTCAGGCTTCTGAGTAGCTGGGATTGCAGGCACCCACCACCATGCCCAGTTGCTTTTTGTATTTTTACTAGAGACGGGGTTTTGCCATGTTGGCTCGGCTGGACTCGAATTCCTCACCTCAAGTGATCTGCTAATCTCAGCCTCCCAAAGTGCTGAGATTACAGGCATGAGCCACCACACCCAGCCAGTTACTACATTTTTAAGCTAAAATGTATTCAATTCAATACTTGAGTATTGAAATTACCTAATTACAGAGAAATTTCAGCTTTGAGAGGTCAGAAACTTTATTTTACTGTTTGCTTAATGTTGATTGGGGTCTTGGGGACTAACATACCATCTCTTAAGGAGACAGGCAGGACCTCTGATTTTATGGTTACAGTGAATAAAACAATCTCAGCAATCTGTTCTTCTTCTTAGTATCAACTAAATGAAAAACCAGGTCAAAACATTGCTGTGAACATAGGATAAGAATGAAAGCACGTTTTTGTCAAATATGGAAAAGATAAATGACTAACTCTCCCTATTCCACACCACTGCTTGTAACACTCTAGTGACTGAGATACTTGAATCTGCCAGATCAGTCTAGTTCTGTGTAGAATCCTGGATACACATGATACATTTTATCACTTACTTGCTCATGCAGAACCACACTACTTAGACTATTAGAACAACTCGTATCTTTTTGGAATTATCTTGTTCCCCTCAATCAATTTTCTAGATTGGTCCTTGGGATTTTTGAAATCATTGTCAGCAATATATTTCTAAATTGCTTCCATTTAAATAACTAAATAAATCTTTAGGCCTTATTTTATTTGAATTATAACTTTTTTTTGAGACAGAATTTCTGTTTCTTGTTGCCCAGGCTGGAGTGTAGTGGTGTGATCTCAGCTCACTGCAACCTCTGCCTCCCAGGTTCAAGCTATCCTCTTGCCTCAGCCTCCCCAGTAGCTGGGAGTACAAGCATGCACCACCAAGCCCAGCTAATTTTGTATTTTTAGTAGAGATGGGGTTTTTCCATGTTAGTCAGGCTGGTCTCTGACCTCAAGTGATCCACCTGCCTCGGCCTCCCAAAGTGCTGGATTACAGGCGTGAGCCACCCTGGCCTGAATTATATCTTAAAACTTATTAAACTTTTATCCTGTAATGAAATTTATTTATTTACTTTTGTTTGGAAGCCCCAGTGAGATTGTAATAAAACGTTAATGCCCATGACCATGGTAGGGCAAGTAATTTCTTGTTTGGGGGTTTTGTTGTTGCTGTTGTTGGTTTGTTTTTGAGACAGGGTCCCTCTCTCTTGACCAGGCTGAAGTGCAGTGGCACAGTGCAAATAGTTTTTCTTTCTTTCTTTCTTTCTTTCTTTCTTTCTTTCTTTCTTTCTTTCTTTCTTTCTTTTTTTGAGACAGAGTCTTGCTCTGGTGCCAGGTGCCAGGCGCCAGGCTGGAGTACAGTGGCACAATCTTGGCTCACTGTAACCTCTGCCTCCCAGGTTCAAGAAATTCTCCTGCCTCAGCCTCCCGAGTAGCTGGGACTACAGGCACATGTCACCACACCCAGCTAATTTTTGTATTTTTAGTAGATATGGGG